GGGGCTGAATAATTTTGCACGCCCAATTTTTCAGTTTTTTATTTGTTAAAAACGTTTGAAATATCCAATAAATTTCGTTCCACTTCATGATTGTGTCCCACTTGTTGTTGATTCTTCACAAAAAATTACAGTTTTATATCTTTATGTTTGAAGCCTGAAATGTGGCGAAAGGTCGCAAAGTTCAAGGGGGCCGAATACCAGCCATTTCCATCCTCTTAGCAAAGTCCACCACCATCTGTCCTTCTAAGTTCCTTCCCTTAACACCAAACCTGCTCATCACCTCCTCATCACCTTTGTTCCCCTCACCAACGTGCCCGTTGAAGTCTGCCCCAATCACCACTCTCTCCCCTCTGGGAATACTCTCCATCACCTCATCTAACTCACTCCAAAATCTCTCCTTCTCTTCTAACTCACACCCTACTTGTGGAGCATAACCACTGACTACATTCAACATTACCCCTTCAATTTCCAACTTCAAACTGATCATCCTGTCTGACTCTTTTCACCTCTAAAACATTCCTTGCAAGCTCCTCCTTCAGGATCACTCCTACCCCATTTCTCTTCCTTTCCACACCATAATAAAACAGTTTGTATCCCCCTCCAATGCTATGTACTTTGCTACCCTTCCAGCTGGTCTCCTGCACACACAGTATATCTACCCTCCTTCTCTCCATCATGTCCGCCAGCTCTCTACCTTTCCCTGTCATTGGGCCAATGTTAAGAGTCCCTATTCTCAGACCTATACTCCTGCCTTTCCTCTTCTCTCTCTGTCTATGAATCCTTCTACCTCCTCTCCTTCTTCAGCCAACAGTGGTCCAATTTCCGCCAGCACCCTGTAGGTCAACAGCACTGGTGGTGGTCGTTGTTAACCTGGGCCTCGACCGATTTTTCTAAATCTCATACTTTTAAAATATTTAGCTTATTCTGAAAGCTTTGCCCCATGCAAATAAATGGGAAAATTCAACAACAGCATACTTTCAGCTATTTCAGGTATCAAAATGTTCAGCTCCTCAAGGACATTTATGCTTCTACACAGAATTTTTCTAAACTTCATACTTTTGAAATATTCAGCTTTATTTTGAAAATCTTGCCCCATACAAATGAATGGGAAAATTCTACTTCAGCATACTTTCAGCTATTTCAGCTATTAAAATGTTCAGCTCCTCAAGGACATTCATGCTTCTATTCAGAATTTTTTTTAAACTTCATACTTTTGAAATATTTAGCTTTATTTTGAAAGTTTTACCCCATTCAAATGAACGGGAAAATTCTACTTCAGCATACTTTCAGCTATTTCAGGCATCAAAATGTTGAGCTCTTCAAGGACATTCATGCTTCTCTTCACAAGTTTTCTAAACTTCATACTTTTAAAATATTTAGCTTTATTTTGAAAATCATGCCCTATACAAATGAATGGGTGAAATTCTACTTCAGCATACTTTCTGCTATTTCAAGTATCAAAATGTTCAGCTCCTCAAGGACATTCATGTCTCTATTCAGAATTTTTCAAAACATCACACTTTTAAAATATTTAGCTTTATTCTCAAAATTTTGCCCCTTTCAAATGAATGGGAAAATTCTACTTCAGTATACTTTCAGGTAGATATGCCTTTCAGGTGTCAAAATGTTCAGCATTTTCAGGGCGTTCCTTCAGCACACAGCATCCACACGCATTTGCGACAGGAAATGCATTTCTCTAGTTATTATTCTGCGATCTTCCACCCTTTTTTTTTTGGCACTTTATAAGTCCAGCATACTTTCAGCCATACAGGCCATTGAGGTCTTTATCTGCTCAACTCTTCAGGGACATCCCTGCTTGTACTCAACTTTTTTATAACATTTATACTTTTTAATTGATTCAGCTTTATTGTTTGCAGTACAAGTCAATGGGAGCTCAAAGTGCTGAGTCAATGACACAGTCTTGGAATGCCATCTGGCGGTCCATAAAATGCAGCGCAATTGGGACATGCCCCTGCATAACTCCTGTCTCTCCCTCTCTCTGTCTCTCCCCCACCCCCTCTCTCACACACACGCTCACACCTACTTGTTTTACCTACTTTGTGGGGTTCTATTGGACTGTTTTCACATCTTAATAAGTTCAGCATACTTTCAGCTAGCAGCATTCAGGTATCAAAATGTTCAGCTCTTCAAGGCCATTCCTACTTTATTGCATCTCATCCTTCAGATTATTCAACAAAGACCTTCAGCCATTTCTTCTCGACTATTACAACGAAGAACTTCAACCACTTCTTCTCATCTTTCAGCTGTTTCAGCAATTGATTTCAGGCATTTTCAGGACAATATTTCAGCTTATCAGCATCCACACGCATTTATGACATGAAATGCATTTCTCTAGTTTTGTATTATTATTTTATGGACCCTAAATGTGTCTGATTTATGTAACCAACTTCTCTTTCCAGGTAGCTTCAGTTAAAGTAGACCTCTCCTTAGGGCAGCTTTGCTGTTGGTCAACCTCTTTCAGTGTGAAGTAACTAGTAGCGTGCAAGCTATGCTTTCTTAGTAGATTCCCCAACATTGTTCTTAGCCTAATTAAGTTGATTTCTATCGACTGTTCGAATGCCACTATGTTGCGTGGTTTAAACATGAAAGTAAAACTATCTGTCTACTTGCGTACAAAAAAAGACACTCACAATTTTATCATTTAGAAAAATAACTGGAGGTTAAAATACCCCCTGAATGGAAAAATAATACACTTTCCTGCATATAAATGAATACGGGCCGTATAACTATGCGATTTTGTAACTTTCGTTACTTTACAAAGCATTTCTGTATATTTTTCAACGTATGGCAATAAGAGGCCCACAGCAAGTTTGTCAAATGACCGCTGCATGTTTGACGTTTACGTTACAACGCTACAGTGACACGAAGTCTAAGTTATAACGTTACCACTGGGCGCCAAAGGAAAGGTTTTGCTAACGTTATCATTTAAAACATTCCAGACTGCAAGCTAGCTCGCTTTAATTTCTTAAATTTACACTAATGAAATTCAAACCTGTGAATGAGTCTGGGTAGATGGACTCTATAGCCTCGAGTTCATTCCTTTGCTCTTCGGCGTAATCCGTCATTCTTGTATAGCTGCAAGTTATCTCGAGGTTAAAAAAATCATCACCACTCTTTTCAGGCTAACACCATGGATGACATACTAGATTCGTTCGTGATAATGACAAGCATGAGCGTTTTTTTTTTCTTTTTTCTTTTTTCTTCTTCTTCGTCTTCTTCTTCTTCAGCTGTTTTTAATGGCTGTTAGCAACCAGCTTTAGGTGCATTACCGCCACCTTCTAAACTGGAGTGTGGATCAGAACGGCCCCTACCTACCACCACACCAAATTAACCACACTCAGTTCACTTTATATTATTTTATGGAACCCTAAAAACATAATAAGTGCTCTATATCCTATATCCCCTTACCTTTGTCCCAACACCTCTGGTAAACTAAAGTTTAAAATAGTATGTTTGAATAATTCCCTCTTCCTCCTGAACCTGGGACAAATCATTAGAGTAGGTATTAGAACATGTTCCACAGTTTCTTGTACCCTGGACATCTCACATTCCCCTGTATTATTCTTCTTGATTATATTCAATGTACTTTTTAAACCAGTGTGCACAAATCTCAGTCTTGATACCGTATCTTCTACCTTCTTATTTCCAGTACTTCCTCTCATTTCTCCTATTTGCCTTTGCATACTGTAATAGAACCAACCCTTGCCATCTGTATCCCATAGCGCTTGCCATTTCTCTTTCAGTTTCCCTTCTTCCCTTCTTCTTCTTCTTCTTCTTCTTCTTCTTCTTCTTATTCTTTTTCTTCTTCTGTGGTTTTAAACGTCAGCCGGTATCCAAATTGTTGCACTGCTACCATCTTTCAACGTGACTCATTATACTACTACATTTATATCCTCTTATCTAACCCTGTGTTTTTTAAGTATTTAAATGAACACCTTTATTAACTCATGCTGTAACTCTTCCCTTTCTGCCCTATATATTCTGCATAATATCAAAACATGTTCAACTGTTTCTTGCTGTTGGCAGTCTTCACGTAACCCAGTCTGATGCTTTCCTATTATCTTACATGAGTTATTTAAATTTGTATGTACAGTTCTCATCCTTGTCATCATTATCTGCTCCCTTCTATTGCCAACAGAAGCCGGACCAGTCACTCTATTCTGTAACAAGTAGAAATGCCTCCCTTTGGTTTCTTTATCCAACAACCCCATGCCTGAATTATTTTGTTCCCCACCTAATTCTTTCCCTCACCTTTAGACAGTTTAATATTCATCTCAACATTACCCAGCACTACTGCCTTCTTTGCTAGCCCAACTACCTTTTCATTCCCTGGAATGCCTGCATGAGCTGGGATCCATAATATTGTGACTTCACTGGCCCTCCTTTCAGCCCCATTTATTATAACCAAGATACAGTATCAAATACCAAGTCCTGCCTGCTACAGGAGGTCCCGCTCTGAAGGATTTAAACTGCTGACAAAGAATCTGTGTATATTAACACTTTACCAAGTTGGTTCTGGTTTGCTCACTGAACTGCTATCAATATAGGACAGATCTCAAACTGTATACACAATTCAGATAATTCAGTGTTCTTCTGTATATCTCTACCTTTAAACCCTTACATACTATACCTGCTCATGTAGCACCTGTAAAAGGATCTTTTGATCATCAGTAAAAACCTTTATATTGTTAGGTATTTTTAGTCAGATAGATATTGGATAGATACTTTATGTATTAGAAATGTTAGTGGAGAGAGGATGTCTAGTTAGACTTGTTAGGTTATTTCTTAGTTAGATAGATATTCAGAGATTTGATGTCTAGAAATGTTTAGTGGAGACAAGATGTCTAGCTCAGGCTGTTAAATGCTCAGTTTAATTTCATGTGCTTGCAGACTGCATCTAGGCCAAGGCTGCAGGCAAGGATGATTGTTAATATTAACTGTAATGCTAATCTTAATATTTGTCTTAATGTGAAATGTCATGTCAAATTGTTCTAGATACACACCACAAATCAACAGCCACACACCTTGACTTTTCCTCATGTTTTGACTATCATTATGGTCAGCTGCAAGCTGGCATATCAGGTGACGTCACGGTTTGACATGCCTGCGTAGTATGGGGTTAGCCCAGAATGATTAAAATTATATAGGTTTCTTGGTCCAAGGTCTTTCATCTTTCCAAGCTGCCTGCGCGCAGGTTTGGTGGTGGGAGAGATCTGGACGTGTGATGTTAATTTTACCTGTGATCCTCTGAATAAACCAGTACAATTATTTTTTATAAAATCTAAAGTGGTCTACTTCGTCTTTTTGTGAGTTCCTGGTTTAAAAGAGCCGGAAGGAGCTTTGTACATAAAACGGAGCTTATACTTTCAAAGGGTGTCCTAATTTTTTCACATACATGTAGCTCCCAAAATGTAAAGAAATATTGG